CGACAGAAACCTCAGAAGCTGTATTCATCAAACATCCCGCAACCTGCTAACTCATGAAAGTTAGCTGAGAGAAGCTAAGTGCTGACGGGAGACCATCGCTTGCCTATGATCAGCGTATCGGAGTGCTGGTTTCTGCCACGTCTCCAGCCCAGGAGCTGCAGTGCCCTGGAGCTCTTCACCCACACACACACTCTCAGTCAGGGGCAGCAAAGCTTTTGTGCGAAGAGCTGGATTCTAACTGTCTTTGCCCAAAGTCCTGGGATTAAAGGCACGAGCCACTGCACCCAGGCTCATCTTCCCATCTTGTTCAGAGGACTACCAGTAGGGTAATGAATATCTTTCTTAAAGTTTTAGCCATCTGAATCGGTAACCTTAACTTGTTCTATTTTATCAAAAACACAATTTAAATCCAACTGTCCTTTTATACACTGGTGAATTTAAGTGACTATGTTTTACTGTTTCATAACAAAAAATTTCAAGTGAAAAGCCAGAAAAGCTTTGTGTTGTCTATGTTGTTTGTTTTTATATGTTTTTATGTCTATGTTATTTTAATTTACAAAGAGCTCTGTTTAATTGGCATAAAGAAAAAAAGCAGTTAAATTAAGTAATTTAAGAGCATACAGTTTATACCATTTTTATACTATATGTAAGAAACATAGGAACAAGCACAGTGGCTCACGCCTATAATCCCAGAACTTTGGGAGGCCAGTGCAGGAGGATTGTTTGAAGTTCAGTTTGATACCAGCCTGGGCAACAAAGCAAGACCCCATTTCTACAACAACAACGACTAAAATAGCTGAGGGTCTCTGTTAAGACAGATGGACAGAATAAAATAAAATAAAAATCATTATGCAAACTGAGTTCATCATTTTACTTCACTCTGTATGATCCTTTTAAAACCCTGCACCTGCCCGACCTCTGCAAAAGAACAACTCCTAACAAATAATGCTGGCCCAGCACTTTGACATGATAGCCAACACCTGTGAAACCGATAAAATGAAACTTAATAATTAACTCCAGGCTGACTTAACCTGACAGCGCCTCCTTCCAAATCTCCTTCCAGCTGCTCAGATGTGGTTCAAGTGGTTTTCACACTGATTTGAAATTGCTGGCCAGTCTCCCAACATGGCACCAAATCAACCTGGACAGGGCCATCTTGGCACCAAGGGACAATCAAAACCTAACCAGGGGATAATTGATCAGTGATGTCTTCAGAAAAGGGTTTTTTTTGTTTTTTGTTTTTTCTTTAGATTGAGTATCACTCTGTCATCCAGGCTGGAATGCAATGGCACAGTCTTGGCTCACTGCAACCTCTGCCTCCTGGGTTCAAGCAATTCTCCTGCCTCAGCCTCCCGAGTAGCTGGGATAACAGGTGCACACCACCACACCCAGCTAATTTTTGTATTTTTAGTGGAGACAGGGTTTCAGCATGTTGGCCAGCTTAGTCTCGAACTCCTGACAGCAGGTGATCCGCCCGCCTCAGTCTCCCAAAGTGCTGGAATTACAGGTGTGAGCCACCACGCCCGGCTTCAGGAAAAGATCTTCATCAAAAGGAGGAAATGTAAAAATTGCCAATATCAAGATGGAGTCACTTGTGTCAAACGGAAACAAAATAAGAGGTTAAGAAGGGGCGGGGTCCTTCATGCACACATGCTATGAGAAGAACCATTACAAAAGTCTCTGAAGGCCGTAAGCACATACACCTGTAAAAATAACTTTTTTTTAAAAAAAGAGTCTTGCTCTGTTGCCCAGGCTAAAATGCAGTGGCATGATCTCAGCTCACTATAAGCTCCACCTGCTGGGTTCAAGGGATTCTTCTGCCTCAGCCTCCCGAGTAGCTGCGATTACAGGTACCTGCCACCACACCCAGGTAATTTTTGTATTTTTAGTAGAGACGGGGTTTCACCATGTTGACCAGGATGGTCTCGATCTCTTGACCTCGTGATCCACCCGCCTCGGCCTCCCAAAGTGCTGGGATTACAGGCTTGAGCCACCGCGCCTGGCCAAAGATAACTTTTGACAAGGATTTTCCAACCTGCAGCTTGCTACATGAGTCACAAGGAAGGCTAGCCAGATGTACAAAGAACGGTTGTCTGACACACTGTCTCCACTAATAAACTGATGTCAACTCCTGCAATAAGCCCCTGTAACCAATGTTTTTGCTTCACAACACCTTCTGTGGGTTGGGCATACTCATGCCTGTAACTCCAGCACTTTTGGAGTCCACGGTGGGAGGATCACTTCAACCCAGAATTAAAAACCAGCCTGGGCAACATGGTGAGACCCTATCTCTACAAAAAATTTTTAAATTAGCCAGGCATGGTGGTGAATGCCTGTAGTCCCTGCTACTCAGAAGGTTGAGGTGGAAGGATCACCTGAGCCCAGAAGGTCGAGGCTGCAGTGAGCCATGGTCACACCACTACACTCCAGCCTGGGCGAAAGAGCAACACCTTGTTTCAAAACAAATAACAATAAATTTTAAAATAAACAAAAATGTAGGCCAAGGCAGGCAGATCACCTGAAGTCAGGAGTTCAAGACCAGCCTGGCCAACACAGTGAAACTCTGTCTCTACTAAAAATACAAAAATTAGCTGGGCATGGTGGCGCACGCCTGTAGTCCCAGTTACTCGGGAGGCTGAGGCAGGATGACCACTTGAACTCAGGAGGCAGAGGTTGCAGTGAGCTGAGATAGCGCCACTGCACTCCAGCCTGAGTGACAGGACAAGACTCCACCTCAACAAACATAAAAATGTAAAAAATAAAAATAAACAGAAACATAACTTATGTATACTTCTGTTTGCCTTTACAAGCATCCCCTTACCTCAGCCTCCTTGAATGTGCCCATGTTTGCCATGGCACACATATTCTGTATTGCAATGCTTCTGCACATTCCCAGATAAGCTCATTATCTTCGGAGAATCTCCTCTGTTTGTGGTTTAGGTTGGCACCCTTTACTACTACTCTCCCTCCTTTTCTGGAACACCCATCGTGCAGCGGTAAGTACTAAGGATGGAAACAGGGCCTGGTGCCTAGAGGCTTCCTGGAGCTGGAGGCCAGCCTGGCTAATTCTGGACTTCATTGCCTGAGTCCCTGGAAATACTTCCAAGCATCTAATCAATTGGGGGAAGGTGTTTGTTTTGGGGGTGGGTTGTTACTTATTGCCAAATGTAATTTCTAGCTAATACGTATAGAAAATTGTCTGTTAAGCCGGGCGCGGTGGCTCAAGCCTGTAATCCCAGCACTTTGGGAGGCCGAGGCGGGTGGATCACGAGGTCAAGAGATCGAGACCATCCTGGTCAACATGGTGAAACCCCGTCTCTACTAAAACTACAAAAAATTAGCTGGGCATGGTGGCGTGTGCCTGTAATCCCAGCTGCTCAGGAGGCTGAGGCAGGAGAATTGCTTGAACCCAGGAGGCGGAGGTTGCGGTGAGCCGAGATCGCGCGCCATTGCACTCCAGCCTGGGTAACAAGAGCGAAACTCTGTCTCCAAAAAAAAAAAAAAAAAAAAAGAAAGAAAATTGTCTGTTAAATTGTTCTGCTTCTTTGGTTCATTATGTAACTTGTTTTGCTAAAAAATCACTCATTTTTCCAGGTTTTTACATTTGTCTCACACAATGAAATATGTTAAATTATCTTACCTTATTGCATATTGGTATCTCATTTTCTCATTCTTAATTTCGTATACTTTTACTTCTCCGCTTTGATCACTGGAGCTCACTTACTTGTCTCATAGTTATTATATTTAATCTTTCCACTACTTTGTGTTAGTTCCTGTTTCATTCTTTTAACTTAATTTTTTTTTCCCATTTGTAAGATAAATCCTAAGCTTCTTGAATCTTTTCTTCATTAATAATGTAGTCAGCCAGGCACGGTGGCTCACTTCTGTAATCCCAGCACTTTGGGAAGCCAAGGCAGGCAGTTCTATTGAGCCCAGATGTTCAAGGCTGGCCTGGGCAACATGGTGAAATCCTTCTCTACCAAAAATACAAAAAATTCGCCAAATGTGGTGGTGTGTGTCTGTGGTTCCAGCTACTTGGGAGGCTGAGAAGGGAAGATCATTTGCGCCTGGGAGGCAGAGATTGCAGTGAGCTGAGATGCGCCACTGCCTTCCAGCCTGGTGACAGTGAGACTCTATCTCAAATAATAATAATGAAGTCATTCTAAAGTGACTATAAATTTTCCTCAGAACACAGCTTTAGCTGCCTCCTATAGGACTTCAGTGGGAAGGGATTCTACCTACGCAGTGTTTGATATACAGTTTGTAACTACAGGTGAGTTTCTGACAAGTTTTGATCCAGGGTTTTTAAAAAGATTTGTCAATTTCAAAATATTTGTTTGCTGCTTTTTTTTTTTTTTTTAGATAAGGTCTCTCCCTGTTACCCAGGCTGGAGTCCAGTGGTGGGATCACTGCTCACTGCACCATACAACTCCCAGGCTCAAGAGATCCTCCCACCTCAGCCCCCAACCTCATAGCTGGGACTACAGGTGTGCACCATCACACCCAGCTAATTTTTAAGTCTTTTGTCAAGATGGGGTCTCACTGTATTGCCCAGGCTAAGTTTCTTCTTCTTTTTTTTTTTTTTTAACATTTTGTTTGCTTAGAATTGTTTTCAATTTTAATCAAATCATGTGTCATATCATTTTTTCAACTTGTATGATTATTTTGTGGCCCAATACATGATTGTTTTTTGCAAATATTTCACAGGCTTAAATGGATGCAAAATTCCCTACACACAATTAAATTGAGTGTGTGGTTTGCATTATTCAATTCCTTTATTCCCACCCTCGCTTTTCATCTGCAGATTTGCGTCATTCTAGAATGGGTATACTGAAGCTCGGGTAAGGGTGAGGCTAGAGTTCTGGGTGCCCAAGCCTACTGTCCAGCCCGTGCCACAGAATCCACAGAGAGGCCCAGCGGCTGCACTGGGCGTGGAGGTGGCGGGGCGGGGCCAGGTTAGGGATAGGGAGGCAGTCAGTCTGGTTGCCAGGAAGCGGGAAAGGGCCACAATGGGGCCTGGGAGGTGGGCGGGGCGGAGCACGGGTGTCCCGCCACGTCGCTTTGTTTTCCCACGCCAGGAGCTACCACCACAGGTCAGTGCACCTCGGGGCCTCCCCTCGGGGCACCGGCTCCCCCACCCCCGACCCTCCCCGCGGCACCTTTTCCCAACACCACGAAAATCTCCTGCCAGCCCCCCGCCAGGTGATTCCCTTCCCAAAGTCTGGGTCTAAACTTGTCCCCAGCCAGTTCACGACCCCACCTAGCCCTCCCTGGAGTCAGGAGCGGGGCGATGGCCTTGAACCCGCTCCAGCCCACGCCCCTCAGAGCCGGGAAGGAAGCTCCTGTTTGTTTTGCCGGCGCCAGGGATACCGACCTGGCCCCGCCCCGCGCTAATCTGAGGGTAGCGGGAAAGTGCGCTGCCCAAGAATCTGGGGTGGAGGGGCCGCTGCCACCGCCCTCGGTCCACAGGTGCTGCGAGCCGTAAGCGCCCCCCACCCGCGACATGGGCTCGGACGCCTGGGTGGGCCCTTGGCGGCCACACCGGCCTAGAGGCCCCATCGCGGCGCACTACCAAGGCCCCGGGCCCAAATACAAACTGCCGCCCAACACCGGTAGCAGGGGCGGGCCCCGGGATTGAGGGGGTGGGGCGGTGCCTGGGGAGGGAAGGGGAAGCGACGGGTGAGGTCTGTGCTCGGGGCCGAACCCGGCCTGTGAGCGGGGAGAGGGGGTCTGTGCCAGGGGAGGGTCCGTGTGCCACGTGGGGGTGGGGCTGGCCCGGCCCGGCGCTGACTCGGTTGCTCCCAGGCTACGTCCTGCATGACCCGTCGCGGCCCCGAGCCCCCGCATTCACCTTCGGCGCGCGCCTCCCCACGCAGCGGACGACTTGCGGCCCCGGGCCCGGCCACCTGGTGCCCGCCCGCATGACCGTGCGCGGCCCCGACAGCGCCCCCGCCTACTCCATCTACGGCCGCCCGCGCCACTCAGCGCCCTTCCCCACTCCGGGACCCGGTCAGCACCCCCGGGACCCTGGCCACCCCAACGCCGAACTACCTCCAGGGAAGCCCACCTGGGAACCCCCCACCTGAACCCCGAGTGCCCCTCGGATACCCAAACACCGCATATTCGGCACCCCCATATCCGGACCTCAAATCCCCAACCTCGAGCCCCGCGGGGCTTTCACAAATAGTGGCTCAGATTCCCCCCATAGTCCCGGGGCACCCACCAGGCCCCCACCCAGTTCCCGCCCCCACGCCCTTGATCCGCCCGGCAGGCAGGTACTTCCCGGAGCGAGCTGGGAACGCCACGTACCCCAGCGCGCCTCGACACACCATTGCTCCCCGAAACTGGGGTGTCCACGCCGAGCAGCAGAGCCCAGGTGAGGCCGGCCCAACCCTGCACTGTGGGCCTTCCCACTCCAGGCCGGGGGCCACCCCGCGCCTGTCCGCGCAGACCCACTACCCCCAAGCCCCGGCTCCCCTCCAGGTCCGGGGACCTATACTGTGCCCTCGCTCTTGGGTCCGCGAGTCATTGGCAAAGTCTCCGCCCCAACTTACTCCATCTACGGCCGCAGAGCAGCGGGCAGTTTCTTCGAGGACCTCAGCAAGGTGGGGGACGCGCGGGGCGGACGCAGGGTGTCCCTAGTCCGCCGCAGTGAAGGCGGTAGCCAGCACCCTCTGCCCTCCCGCAGACCCCGGGCCCCTGCGCCTACCACGTGGTGAGCCCGGGGGTCTACAAGTCCCGGGCCCCCCAGTTCACGATGCTGGCGCGGACTTCGCTCCCCCAAGACAGCACGCAGAAGCCGGGGCCCGCAGCTTACAACGTGGACCAGGTGGCCTGGAGTTCAGGGTCAAGGGTCAGGGGCGGGGCAGGGCGGGGGGGGACTGAGGTCGGAGTTATGGGATCAGGGTCCCCGGCGCGGAGGGGACGCCGGTCCCGCGAGCTCAGCAGCCTCTCCCGGCCCGCAGCACCGGAAGCCCCGCGGGTGGAGCTTCGGGATCCGGCACTCGGACTACCTGGCCCCTCTGGTGACCGACGTGGACAACTGACGCGCCGGGCGGGCGCGGCCCCACACTTGTTTGCTTAAAGAAGTTTGCGAGCCCGCATCGTGTCCGCCTCTCTCTCTCTCTCTGCGCGTCCCAGGGGCGGGGCCGAGTCCGAACTCCGAACCCAGCGGGGCGGGGCCCGCGCACTGGGCGAGGCCCAGCCCCGCGCCACGTCCGACCGTCGAGACCCCAGAGGGCGGGATGGGCGACGCCCGGGCGCTACAGACACCGAAGGGCCGCGATGGGCGGGACAGGCCGCCGACGGCCCCGGGCCCGGAAATCCCGCGTGTCCGGGAGCATCTGGGGGTCGGCCGGGACCCGGCGCGCAGGGGTTCGCGGGCGGAGGCGACTGCCCAGCCCCGCCCACCAGACGGCCCCACCTGCCCTCTGTCCTGGGGCGCCGCCGCCCTGCCGCCTGCAGTGCCCCGCTGTGCGCGAACCCCGCCGTGCGCGAAGCCTGCGGTCCCGACCCGTGGACGAGGCGGGGTATCCCGGGCTGGGATCCGGAGCAGGTGGGCGAGGGCAGCTGTCCTGAGCAGGTACGGGCCGGGCTCAGGTCGTGAGGCGGGAAAGCGGGAGCCAGACTCGGACAAGGGCGACACAGACACGGGACGAGGGGCGGACACCAGGGAGACGCGGGAAGGGGTCGGGACAGGAGCACGTGGCTCAGATATCAACACCGCTCGGCCGCAGGTCCCAGGCGTGCCAGGCATCCCCGCAGGCCCGGAGCGATGGCGGCCTCGATGACCCAGGGAGCCCGGGCCCCACCCAGGCCTGGTGACCTCTCCGGGGAAGGGACCCAGGGACTTACCGACCCCTCGCCAGAGCCTAAGCAGCTTCCAGAGCTGATCCGCGTGAAGCGAGATGGAGGCCGCCTGAGCGAAGCAGACATCAGGGGCTTTGTGGCTGCTGTGGTGAACGGGAGCGCGCAGGGCACACAGATCGGTGGGTGGGGAGGGTTGGGTGCCCCAATCCCGGCCGGGAGGTCAGCTGAGACTGTCGGTCCCTGGAGGTGCCACAGTGCCCCACCACCAGCACCGCCCCCAGGGTGCCCCACTGCTGTGGGCTGCCACTCTCACGCAAATCCCCATATACCAGGGGCCATGCTGATGGCCATCCGACTTCGGGGCATGGATCTGGAGGAGACCTCGGTGCTGACCCAGGCCCTGGCCCAGTCGGGGCAGCAGCTGAAGTGGCCAGAGGCCTGGCGCCAGCAGCTTGTGGACAAGCATTCCACAGGGGGTGTGGGTGACAAGGTCAGCCTGGTCCTGGCACCTGCCCTGGCTGCGTGTGGCTGCAAGGTTAGAAACCACCCCCTTTCCCTACCAGAGCCTATGACCCGAGTCAGCAACCAGGCCATCCACAGGCAGCTCCCAACCTCAAGCCTGGCACAAACACCCCAAGCCAGGACCGAGGCTTCTCCCCAGCACAGAGCTTGGGGCCCCTCTGGCTCCAGACCTTGGAGCAGGCAAAAGATCCACTGATGGAATGCAGACCCTTTCCCCTTGGATCCCCAGACAGCTCACCCAAGGGATGAGTAAGGACTTCTCTCGCTCTGCCCCAACCCTTGTTTCCCCACAGGGATGGGTACCAACCTCCTCCCCTACTGACATTTCTCAACCGAAAAAACTTCCTTCCCATTTCACTGGCTGGGAACCCCTATAGCTGCTTAAATACTTTCTAAATCCAGCTGAAGTCCTAGCCAGGGAAGGTGAGGGGATGCATGGGGGTGTGGAGGAGGGGTACCGTGCAGGGTACTCAGCATCCCTGCCCACCAGGTGCCAATGATCAGCGGACGTGGTCTGGGGCATACAGGAGGCACCTTGGATAAGCTGGAGTCTATTCCTGGATTCAATGTCATCCAGAGCCCAGAGCAGGTACGGGGGTGGGGTGGGGGGTTGCTGACGAGTCCTTGATCCAGGTTGATGATGAAGACACGACACTGGCCAGGATCACTAAAGGATCACTGGTGGATCATTAGGGTCACTATTGAGGTTATCTGTCAAAGTTGCTCATGTCATTGGACCTGGGTCAAAATCATCAGTGGAACTCATCAGGATCATAAACGAGGAGTTGGTCAAAATCACAGATGGCTGGCCGGGCATGGTGGCTCACACCTGTAATCCTAGCACTTGGGAAGGCCGAGGTGGGCCGATCACTTGAACCCAGTTCAAAACCAGCCTGAATAATATGGCAAAACCCCATCTCTCTACAAAATAAAAAAATTAGCCTATGTGGTGGTGCACCTGTAATTCCAGCTACTCAGCAGGCTAAGGCAGGAGGATCACTTGAGCCTGGGAAGTCTAGGCTGCAGTAATCTGTGACCGTGGCACTGCCCTTCAGCCTGGACAACACAGTGAGACCCTGTCCCAGCACTTTGGGAGACAGAGGAGGGAGGACTGCTTGAGCCCAGTTGGAGATGAGCCTGGGTGGTATAGTGAGACTACATCTCTACAAAAAACAAGGGGGGAAAACACGGCCCATCGTGGTGGTGCACGCCTGTAGTCCCAGCTATTGGGAAGTGGAGGTGGGAGGATCACTTAAGCCCAGGAGGCAGAGGTCACAGTGAGCCGAGATTCTGCCAGCTGCACTCCAGCCTGGACAACAGAGCAAGACTCTTTCTCAGGGGGGGGGGGAAAAAAAAGCTGCTGTTACCAGACGTCACTGAGAATAGGGGGTGTTTGACCAGATGCAAGTGCTCCTGGAGCAGGCGGGCTGCTGTATCGTGGGCCAGAGTGAGCAGCTGGTCCCTGCAGATGGAATCCTATATGCAGCCAGAGATGTGACAGCCACCGTGGACAGCCTGCCACTCATCACAGGTGACCTGACTCCATGGCCTACTTCTGCATGTGACAGGCCCCTGACCTCTGACCTCACAGAGTCCTCTTGGTCCACTTGTTAGTAGTCACCTGACCATGTGTCTGCGCCCGCACCTCCCCCACCCCACCCCACAATCACAAGATGCCTGACCACCACCTTGTGGGGTGGCCTCATACACAACCGACTAGGTGCTGCCACCCCCGTCATAAGGGGCTTGACCCTCAATGCTCAGGGCCCCTGACCCCAAAGTCGGCATCCCCCAAGTCTCCCAGGAAGCTCCAGGCTCTCCACTGTCTCCAATTGCCTCTGCCTCCCCACAAAGCCTCCATCCTCAGTAAGAAGGTCGTGGAGGGGCTGTCCGCTCTGGTGATAGACGTTAAGTTTGGAGGGGCCGCCGTCTTCCCCAACCAGGAGCAGGCCCGGGAGCTGGCAACGACGCTGGTGAGTGCTGTGGCCTCTCCCTGGGGGTGCGTCTTGATGTGGGTCCAGCCTACCCTTCACCCCTTCCGTCCCCACTACCTCCCTCCTCTCAGCAGCCCTGCCTGACCCCAGACCCACCGTTTCCTGCCCAAAGTCCCTCTCTCTCTCATGGCCCCCGAACCTCCTGTGACTTTGGAGGTCAAGGCTGCCTTGGCCTGGGCCTGGGGAGGCCCTCCGTGGCGCGCCTCCCCCGGGCCAGGTACAAGGTCCTCCTGGCCCCAGGTCGAGGTGTGGCACTTCGCTCGCTTCTGTTCCTCACCCCAATGCTTTCCTGATTTCATCCTGGGGGGGCTGGCAACCCCGAGGTTGAAAGGTGCAGAGGAGCTGGAGTTCGATGAAGAACCGGCTGCAGGAGGCCCCGCTATGCAGGGTCCACGCTGAGCCTCTCTCCGCAGGTGGGCGTGGGAGCAGACCTGGGGCTTCGGGTCGCGGCAGCGCTGACCGCCATGGACAAGCCCCTGGGCCGCTGCGTGGGCAACGCCCTGGAGGTGGAGGAGGCGCTGCTCTGCATGGACGGCGCAGGCCCGTCGGACCTAAGGGACCTGGTCACCAGGCTCGGTGGGGGCGGGGGCGGGGGCGGGGGCGGGGGCGGGGGCGGGGGCGGGGGCGGGGGCGGGGCTTCTGGCCGGGGCCGCCCCCGCGGCCGCGCCTAACCCGTCCCCGCCCACAGGGGGCGCCCTGCTCTGGCTCAGCGGACACGCGGGGACCCAGGCCCAAGGCGCTGCCCGGGTGGCCGCGGCGCTGGACGACGGCTCGGCCCTCGGCCGCTTCGAGCTGATGCTGGCGGCGCAGGGCGTGGACCCCGGCCTGGCCCGAGCCCTGTGCTCCGGGAGCCCCGCAGAGCGCCGGCAGCTGCTGCCTCGCGCCCGGGAGCAGGAGGAGCTGCTGGCGCCCGCGGATGGTGAGCGGCCAGGGAAGCCCGGCACGCCGCCTCCGCCACCCCGTCCCCGCCCGGGCCCCCGCCTCTCAGCCCCTCTCCCCGCAGGCACCGTGGAGCTGGTCCGGGCACTGCCGCTGGCGCAGGTGCTGCACGAGCTGGGGGCCGGGCGCAGCCGCGCGGGGGAGCCGCTCCGCCTGGGGGTGGGCGCGGAGCTGCTGGTCGACGTGGGTCAGAAGCTGAGCCGCGGTGAGCGCCGCCGCCCCCGCCCCGCCGCCCCCGCCCCCGCTCCGGCCGCGCGGCCTCTGACGCCCCTCCCCTGCAGGGACGCCCTGGCTCCGCGTGCACCGGGACGGCCCCGCGCTCAGCGGCCTGCAGCGCCGCGCCCTGCAAGAGGCGCTCGTGCTCTCGGACCGCGCGCCCTTCACCGCCCCCTCGCCCTTCGCCGAGCTCGTCCTGCCGCCGCCGCAATAAAGCTCTTTCGCCGCGAAGCGCTGTCCGTGCCTGGCGCGCCGGGGGGAACCGAGGGATCCGGAGCCGCGGGGCGGGGGGGGCGCCGTCTCGGCGCACACGTGACCTCCGCCGGGCTCCAGCTTCCGCGCACGCGCCGAGCGCCTGTCAGCAGCTGCGCGGGGCGGCTGCGCCCGTGTGCGCATGCGCGCAGCTCCGGGGACGCCTGCGCCGTGGCCGCGAGTGTGTGGCGCGGCGGACCCCCGAGCCCACGGAGTTCGCGGGGCGGAGAGCGGGGAGTCGGAGGCCGGCGCTGTCTCCCGGGCCCGGTCCACTGGCGCGCGGCCCCGCCGCGAGGTGCGGACGCCGGGGCCAGGTGGGGGCGGGAGGGGAGGAGGTAACCCCGGGGACGCGCTGGGCTCCGGTTTCCCGGTTCCGGCTGCTGCGCGGGGCCAGCGGGGCTCACCCCGAGGGCGCGCCGGAGAGAGGGGCGAGGCGGGGGCGCCTGGGGAGGCTCCGAGCGGGCACCGGTGTTCTCGCGGCTGAGGACAGCAACGCGCGCGGCGCTTCGTGCGGTCCGGGGACCTTTCTGGCCAAGAGGGCGCTGGCTGTGGTGGGGAGGGGACAAGCCCAGAACCGCCCGGGCGCGGGGCGGGCGCCGTGAGTCCCCGGGAGGGTGCCCCCAGCAGGACAGGAGCAGTGACGGGGAGTCCGGAGGCCTCCGCCTAGCAAACCTTCCGGGGCCCGTGGAAGGGCGCAAAGGCAGGGCGTCGGCGGTGAGCCCGGAGCAGCTGCTGGGAAGCCGGGATGAGGACGGTGGGGTTCCGTGGTGGGTAGGAGTGTCTGCGAGGACACGTTAAGTACCGGAGGCACGCGGAGTCCGAGCTCCGGCGTAGGTGCTGCAGGGTTTCTGCTGGGAGTGGGGAGGACGGCTGTGGTTAGTTGAAGTGGCCCGAGGTGACACGAAAGTGCTGGAGGAGTCGGTTGCTCTGGGGATCGCAAGCCAGAGTATCACCCGCCTCCTTTAAATAAACGGGTTTATTGCAAATAGAGAACAAGGTCAGGAGTCCAGGCCACGCAGCACTTGGAAGCTTTCAGTCAGCAAGAGTCGCACCTGCTGAGGCACAGGTACAGGGCAGGGTGTGGTGAGAGGCTAGGGATCCCAGGTGGAGGACCAGAGTGCAGGCGTGGTTGCCCAGGTGTGGATGTTTAGTGGCGTTCTGAGCTCAGGTGAGCAGTGAATGCCTAAGCCGGAACGTGGGCTGGGTCCTTCAGATGGGTGGCTGGCCTCCAGAGTGGCAGGGGCAGCCCAGGTACCACCTTGGGCCTTCCTTTCTGGCCGCTGATGCCTGTGTTTGTTTCCAGGAGCATCAGATCCATGCTGCTGCTGACTCGGGGCCCCATGGCTTGGCACAGGCTCTCTCAGCTCAAGCCCCCAGCCCTCCCTGGGACCCTGGGAGGCCAGGCCCTGCATTTGAGGTCCTGGCTTTTGTCAAGGCAGGGCCCTGCAGAGACAGGTGGGCAGGGCCAGCACCAGGGCCCTAGGCTTCGAACCAGGCTGCTGATCACAGCCGTGTTCGGAGCTGGACTGGGTGGGTTCTGGCTGGCCTTGAGGGCTGAGAAGGAGAGGCTGCGGCAGCAACAGCGAATGGAAGCCCTGCGCCAGGCAGCTGTGGGCCAGGGTGACTTCTGCCTGCTGGACCACAAAGGCCAGGCTCGCTGCAAGGCTGACTTCCGGGGCCAGTGGGTGCTCATGTACTTTGGCTTCACTCACTGCCCCGACATCTGCCCGGACGAGCTGGAGAAGCTGGTGCAGGTGGTGCAGCTGCTGGAAGCAGAGCCGGGTTTGCCTGCAGTGCAGCCTGTCTTCATCACGGTGGACCCCGAGCGGGACGATGTCAAAGCCATGGCCCGCTACGTCCAGGACTTCCACCCACGGCTGCTGGGTCTGACGGGCTCCACCGAACAGGTTGCCCAGGCTAGTCACAGTTACCGCGTGTACTACAGCGCTGGCCCCAAGGACGAGGACCAGGACTACATCGTGGACCACTCCATTGCCATCTACCTGCTCAACCCGGACGGCCTCTTCACGGACTACTATGGCCGCAGCAGGTCGGCCGAGCAGATCGCAGACAGTGTGCAGCGGCACATGGCGGCTTTCCGCAGCATCCTGCCTTGAGCCCCTGTGGCCGGGGCCCCGTCATTAAACAGGGTACCTTTAATCTGCACGTGTGTGATCTCTACCAGCAGCCCATGGGGGCCGGACAGCCCTCTTCTCTGCACAGACTAGGTGTATGCAAAGTGGCTTGTAGGGGGAAGATGAGATGGCAACATTGCTTTATTAGGCCGTGCCAGCCAGGAAGCAACACTGGAGTGCGCAGACACACGGCTCCTCAGTACACAGCCCCCACCCCGGCCTCGGTGCTCTCCACTCAGGGCTGGGCCATGGAGGGGGCAGCATAGGTCTGGAAACGCTTGTGGGCTCGCTGGTGTGTGAGCAGTCTCAGGGACATGGTGTCCACGGCTGTCTCCAGTCCCGGCTGCTGGGTGATCTCCACTGTGTAGTCGTTGGCCTGCAGGGGTGGGGTGTCAGCAGGGTCTGAGACCGCTTCCCCCTCCCACAATTCCCGGCTACTCACCAGCTGCAGGGAGGCCAACATGGAACGGCACACCTCGAAGGCCGGCTGGCCAGCCACCAGCTCCGCAAAGGGACACCACACATTGAGCTGGGGGAACCGTGAGACTACCTGGTCCCCATAAGTGTGGATGTCAAAGGGCACGTGCTGCTCCTGCACAGAGGAGGGGCACATTGGCTTCGGAGAGAGGCACAGGTCTGCAGCGGGCAGCTCCAGTTCCCAGCGGCCCACCTCACCTGCTCCTGGAGCAGAGGCTGCACAGTGTCCTCCCAGTCCCTGATGCGCTGGCTCAGCTCTGTCTCCTGGACAAACTTCTGGGAGCTGGCGATGAAGAGCTCCTACGGGAGGATCAGTAGGAGCTACTGCCTCCTAAGCAGGGGCTTGGGTGCCTCTCACCTACCCCCACCCCCTCTAACGCAGGCCTACCACATTCCTTCGAACCAGCTCCTCGTAACTCAGGGACGCCGGCACTGCGTCTAGGAAGAGGCAGCTGTGAGCTGAGGGGCCACACTCCCCTGCCCCCAGCTCCAGTGGCCGCTCAGCACTCCTAGCCCACTGCCCACCTACCAAGGTCAGCAGTTTCTTTGGGGTCTGCTCCCTCGGGCTCCACATACTCCTCGGGCTCTAGAAAGTCATCTGCTGGGAGGTGGGAGAGTGAACAGCACACAGGCAGCAAGTCAGCTGGCACAGGTGCTGAGCCCCGTTCTACCCCACCCCCTGGCAGGCACACACCTGCTGCCCCCAGGTCTTCCAGGGAATCCTCCAGGTGGTCCTCCTCTGCAGGCCACAGCCCCTCCTCAGCCCTTGGCAACCACTGCTCAGCCACCTGTCCAGAGAGAGCATCTGTGAGGGACACTCATCTCCCATCAGGGCCACCACGGGGTCCTAGATCACAGCTGAGCAGTTGGGACTTGCCTCCCTCCTCTGCAGCTTCCGGAGAGTTTCCAGCTGCTCCTTCACGTGTGTCCAGTACAGGACCTCCATGTCTGCAGACAAAGGCGTTCTGAGGGCTCCCTCTTCCTTCCCAGGCCCCGTACCAGTCCAGCCAAGGCTTTGGGTGACACCAGGTGGGGGTAGAGATAGGGGAAGGAGACTAAAACTGTCTTCCCTGAGGACCTCAGCCTCACCTGCAAAGGACGGGCCCTTTCGCCGGGACCTCCTGCTGTCGGCATGGTCAGCATCTGAGAGAGAACATGGTCAGCACAACTAGGCCAAGAGCTGCCCATGGCATTGGGGATCCTCTTCCACTGGCCCTGGCCCAGCTCCCAGGGACCCCGAGTGCCCACCACACCCACTCACAGGCTGCCAGGTACCACTGGTGGAAGTCTTGCAGCTTGGCAGCACCCTTCCTCTTGCGCTTCTGTCCTGGAGCCTCCTCCACACAGGGGGGCACAGAGTAAGGCCTACCTGAGGGCAAACGGACTGTCTTGGAGCCGCCGTGGGATCTGGGTGCAGAGCCCACTCCCATTCCCCTACCTCATGCCCCAGCAAACCCAGCCAGGGATACCTGAGTGAAGGTATCCTCCACCCAGTTACCTTTCTTGAAGGGCTTAGAGTCCAAGGAGTCAAAGGGGTCCAGGCTCTGCCAGGGGTCTGGAGTCTCCTGGGCACAGAGCACAAGCAGGCGCTGGGGGAGTTGGGGGTGCACAGCCATCCCTCCCAAAGCCCAGACAGGTACAGTGACAGCCTGCAGGAGGGCCAACCACCCTCAAACCCTGGATCACAGAGGGGAACATTCAAGGGAGGGAAGGAGGGAGCCCAGAGCCACATGAGGGCAAGTGCAAAGGGCCACAGGCTGGGAACACTGCAGGGCAGCAGAAGCAAGGGCAAATGGGAGGGCAGCCAGCCCTCAAATCCACCCGTACCCCCTTGACAGGGCCAGGGCCCCAACACTCCTACCTTCACATGGGATGCAGGTTCTGGGGCCCCCTCTCGCTCCCGCAGCATGTACCTTCTGGGCAGGGCAGCATTCTGCAAAGAGTCACAGACAGAGTCCCACTTCTCTCTTTTTTTTTTTGAGATGGAGTTTCGCTCTGTCGCCCAGGCTGTAGTGCAGTGGCATGATCTCAGCTTACTGCAACCTCCGCCTCTCGGATTCAAGGAATTCTCTGGCCTCGGCCCTCCCAGTAGCTGGGACTACAGGTGCATGCCACCACACCCAGCTAATTTTTTGTATTTTTAGTAGAGACAGGGTTTCACCGTGTTAGCCAGGATGGTCTCGATCTCCTGACCTTGTGATCTGCCTGCCTCAGCCTCCCAAAGTGCTGGGATTACAGGTGTGAGCTCATTTCTCCCCTTTCTCCACTCAAGGCTCTGGGTACCCCAGAACTCCACCTTGGGTCAACATCAAGAATCCCACAGAGGCCAGGCACCGCAGCTCACGCCTATAATCCCAGCACTTTGGGAGGCCAAGGCAGGCGGATCACCTGAGGTCAGAAGTTTGAGACCAGCCTGGCCAACATAGGAAAACCCTGTCTCTACTAAAAATGCAAAAAACAAAAAAAAGGAAAAAAAAAATTAGCCAGGCATGGTGGCATACACCTGTAATCCCACCTATTCGAGGGGTTGAGGCAGAAGAAGTGCTTGAACCCAGGAGACTGAGGTTGCAGTGAGCCGAGATCACGCCACTGCATACCAGCCTGGTCGATAGAACAAGACTCCGTCTCAAAAAAAAAAAAACAACAAAACCTACAGGGGCCAGACATAGTAGTTGGTACCTATAATGCCAGCATTTTGGGAGGACAAGGCAGGAGGATCACTTGAGCTCAGGAGTTCAAGACCAGCTTGGGCAACATAGTGAGACCCTGTCTCTACAAAAAAATACAAAAATTAGCCAGGTGTGGTGTCATGTGCCTGTAGTCCCAGCTACTCGGGAGGCTGAGGTAGAAGGATCACCTGAGCCTGGGGAGGTCAAGGCTGCAGTGAGCCAAGATCAGGCCACTACACTCCAGCCTGGGCAACAGAGCAAGACCCTGTCTCAAAAAAACACCCTGCTTATACTCTTGGGTCATTAAAAACCCTAAGAAAAAACTTTAAAACACACACACACTGGTCATAGGGTACTCTTTTTTAAAAATAGGAAAAACGCCAATTGTGACAAACATCCATGTTATCTACCAATTTTAAAGTTAAGAAATGTTAACATTTCCTCCTGTAGGCATCAGGATGATTTTCTATGAATAAAAAGGAAGGATTTCTTCCTTCTAGGCTGGACAGAGTTGCCCTGGGGGGGGAGGGAGGCAGCAAAGGCCTCCAAACACCCCCTCCTACCAGCCCAACTACGGACGAAGCGCCTTGGCAACCAGTTGCCATCCCAGCTAGCTGTGAGCTCAATAGAGCTCAAACCCCTGGACACCAGTCCACTATCTGAGGAGCGTCAGTTCTGATCAGAGAGGGGAGGAACACAGAAGCTGCTGTTCAAAAGGGCTGGTTGCAGAATGCGCTGCAAGGCGGGCAGGCTTCTGCCCAAGACCAGCGGCCTGGGGCCAAGGCTGTAGCACTGTCCTCCTTGTGCAAGCTGACTCAGCCCCAGAGCCAGGGTCGCCCGGTTCACAGCTCAGGCTCTGCAGGCCTCCGTGTGGGTCCCACCTGCTGCGGGCTCCTGGGCTCCTCGGGCTCCAGAGCGGCCTTGGGGGCCGAGGCCTCAGGAAGCTCTACTGCCTCCTCTGCGTCCTCATCCTCACCCCCGCCCAGGGGCATCGGGCTTTCTGGAGAGGGGCCTGGGCAGGGAGCAAGAGAGTCATCAGCTCCAAGGAATGTCAAGACCAGACGATACCAAAGGGACCCTGATGGCCACTCCCTCCTCTCAGCTTTGGTCACTGGAACCCAGAGGATTCAGTGGGTGCCTTGCACCCTCCTTGTCGTGCTAGTATGCTCTGCTTGGATCATTTTATTTCCAAGCAAATGTTCCTCTTTAAATGCAGTCATCCACATCTGCCCAGAGAGGAGACCCATGAGGGCAGTCGGAGCGCAGTCAGCGAACCAGGACGGGCTGAGGCTTGGGTCAGGCCGGGGGCCTGGGCTCCAAGGCTGTGGCTGCCTTCCCTGAGTGAGGCCTCACTCCTGAGGGCTACAGAAGGGGCATGAGGCTGGCAGCTGAGCACAGCCCCCTGGAGCCCTGTCCACTGCATGCCGCCTCCCTGGCCCCCTCTTTGGCTGCCCTGCCAGTCCCACCAGGGAGCTTTCTTCTCACCTGGCTCCTGGGAGAAGCCGAGTGCTGGGACGGGGCTCCCACACAAGGAAACTTCCATTGGCTGCTCCTCAGTCCTCCTAGCGTCTGCGAGAGACAGGGTTTGGACAGGGTCAGTCCAGCCCCTCTCCAAGATGGTCTCTGCCCGGTGTCCAACAAGCCCCTCCAAGGGGCCGGCAGAAGGGCACAGCCCAGCACACTCCAGGCCTTGGATTTAGGGAAGACAGCAGGGGCCTGAGTGGGCACCAGGTCCCTGGCACTGAGACTGTGTTAACTTGTAATCAAGGCAGAGCAGATGGGTGGAGTAGGCACCCAGAGAGAGGGAGCTCCCAAGACCAGAGCTGGCAAGCATAGGGTGCCCCGCAAAAGTCCACTCCAGAAGACCCCTTCCCTCCTT